TGTGTTTCCTTTTTTAGTTTTGATTTTGAGCAGCAAATTTGAAGTTACATGTTGGTGCTCACCAGGAATGCATAAGCAAAATTGCACAAATTTTCACTTGAAAGAATAGTGAACAATCTTGGGATTTTTTTCTGTTAAAGTTTCAAATAGTGTGTAAATTTAATACACTTCATCTTCAGCATGTTTAGTGCCACTTTTTGCCCCCGTCCCGGCCACGCCCCCTTCCGCTTTTTTCATCACTAGCCACTCTCGTTCCTGATTACGGCATGCGTGTGTAAGTGTGTGCGTATGCGCGCGTGTGCGGTAACGGGTCGATCGCGGGAGGTTGGTTGTTCGAAAAGTAGATCTTCCGTAAAAAAAGTGTGGGCACTGCTCCGCTACAGGATGAACTGCAGGGGGAAAAACACTTTAAATCATGAATTCTCGTTGTGTATTTGTAGCCAACTTGTCACGTTGATAGCAGGCTAATATAGCTCATGTAGACACATACAGCGCCTTCATTATAAGGCTTTTTATTTTTTGCGGCTCCAGACATATTTGTTTTTGAATTAATAACGGTTATGAATTCACTGTTTGTTTATTGTTTCATCGTATGACAGATTTTTTTACTCCATGTACAATACTTAACATGCAGCAATGTTTTTTCTTTACAGTGCTCTTTCAATAAAGTTGAGTTGAGTTGGCAACACTGAAGAGAATTTGCAGCTTTTGTTTGCTTTTACAACAAAAGCAGTGCATATTTAATGTTTTATTTTGACTACCCAAAGGCTGCAGAGACGGTTTGGTTGTGGCCCGCCGGCCCTAATTTGCGCAGATGCGCTGTAAATCTTTAAATTAATGAGGTTGGTGGGTCCAGAATAAAATTTGCACCAAAGGACAAATATAACTTTCACCACATTGGTTGTATAGCAATATAGCACTAAGACATTATATTGAATAAATCCAAACTGAATTCAAAATAAAATCCTGTCAATATTTTGCCACCTGAAACTAAAATGCAAAATATTGGTGTTTGAAGGCTTACTGGGGTTCTTGTTTTCAGTGTTAGGGCTGAGGCCAATGTTCCAGACAAAATTGAAATGTTCCTGATGAAATATACAGAAGATATATAGCTAGATCAGTACTTTGTTATTTTATATAACGTTTATTTTATTTATCTAAAGTTATACACAAAGTAAATAGCCATATCATGATAGTTCATTCTCTTTTTTATTGTGAAATGGCTGTATTCACATCAGGATTTCAAGTTTAGTGAAAGCACTTAATATTGTAAATGAAATAATGCGGGTTGTGTGTTTACAGAAACTACCGAATCTACATGTGGTGTACCTACTTCAGTGTTACAATATCCTCAAATTGAAAGACATTTTAGAAAGGTAAGGAATATTTATATTTTTATTGTTTGCATTCACACTTGTTGAGTCTATCTCAGACACATTATACTGGATATTAGGGATGTGTTGATCTCATGATAATTGTGATATCGTGAGAAAGCTCATGGTATTGCAATAAGACTCCTGGTAATCTAAGAAAGGTCACAGACAACAGTCTGTGACTTTTATCACAGGCCAAAGGTTAAATATGTTACCGTGCACTTCTATCCCCATCCATACATTAGTTTATGTTCCAATATTTTCATTCATGTCACTCGAAATCACTATTACTGCTGCAGCAATAATCATTCTAAGGTCACAATAGTGTTGGACGATGAATCACAATTTCATTTTATATTTACAAATGTCATGGCATGAAATACAATCCTCGAGGTCCCAGGTTAGCCCAATAAGTCCCACGGCTCGTAAAAATAACACAAGATATTATAAATATGATAAAGAGATGTGGGTAACGGTTATTCAGGGCTTCAATGTGTGCAAAGATCTATTCTAAAGCATCAAAGGTGGGGATGTAGCAGAATGAAAATGCAGAAAGCTTAACTTTCACATATTTGTAAGGTCATTTTGTAATTGACAAAAAGAATATGGAGCTCAAGAATAAAGTATCAAATGGCATAAATCATCAATGATGGTCGCCCGTTTTGCCGATGACTGACATGAACACACCCTACCTATCTCATGTGGTTGTTTTGTGGGGCTGAATACAGCAGGGCTGCTTCCATTGACTATATACGGAAATGCTTTGCGGTTCCTGCACAGTAGGTGCCGGTATGCACCAAAGAGCAATGAATTATGAAAAAGACGCCTCACATTTATAGACAGGAGTAGTAGTGCGAGCGACTTGGATTGGATTCTACCCTTAGCCACAATGCAGAGTGGGATTTTGTTCCAGGTAAGCCATTTTAAACTAAATTAAAACATCTTGGCGTTTCAGGAGTTCGAAAAGCGTCAGGCAGTCACCAATGTTATCCTGCTGTACTTAACAGTTCAATAGATTGATAAATAAGTGTATGTGGATTGTGTATGGGTGGATGTGTGTGTAAAGCTCTTCAGGGAGTCATCGCATGATGTAGATACACTGATATGTCGTACACTCCATTTACCATTTTAATCAAATTGCATTTTTCATCTGTTAATGTGTTTTTTTTTGGGGGGGGGGGACGAACTGAAGGATTGACGATAGACGGATTGACGGACAGGTGAAATTTACTGACGGAAGCGAAAATGGGAGTGCAATTAAAATAACATGATGTAATGACCGACTGCTTTGGCTTGAGATAATGATCAACCAACGATGACAGATGGGTGTATAAACCTCTGGTTTTGAGTAGTTGAATATATACGAATCTGTAAAATCAATCAAAAGTCATTTTCATAATTGTGATTTCATTTTTAATCAAAATAATCATAATTTTTTTCCATATTTGTCCAGCCCTCGCTCACAATAACAAAACCTTTCCATTAAGAAATTATCTGTCCACATATTTGATTATATTTTTATTTAGAATATTACAAATGAAATTGTTCTTGGTATCAAAGGTAAAGGCAACAGTGGATCCCAAAGCGAATGGGAGACAGTTGGCAGAGGGTAATGAAAGTGTTGAATTCAAAAGAAAAACGATGATTTAGCTCAGGACACAATATGGCTCACAAACAAGAGGGTGAAGCTCCGACTTAGTGTTGGGAGAACTGACACCAAGAAGAAGGAATGGCATGAAGGATAAGTGTAGGATCAAGTGGTCCGTGGAGTTAAACGCGGAGCCAGGTTGGGCAGGGAGGCACTGGAAAAAAGACAATCAAAATCAAATGGTTATGCACCAAAGTACAAAATGGCAAGCGTGTGCACTCGTAATGGCCAAGATACCACTCAGAAGTTTGCACACCCGTCTGGCACAGTATTACCCCACAGACAATTGTAACTTAAACTCGACTCACCTTAACTGCACAGTGAAACTCCTCTACAACGAAACCTACATGGGCGAAAATACCCCCGAGTGTGAAAAAAATCTTCATGCATGAACACCATTCCCACTCTCCTGCCCCCCATACAACGAAAAAAAACCCTGTTGCGTTACACGAATTTTTTTTTCTCTGTTCTTGCCTCGTGATGAGATTTACTACAACGAAGTCTAATCCAACAGCGACCTCTACTGCATCGTTCGGAAACGGCAACAGCAACCACCACACTGGTTTACTCATGCGCAGTAGTCCAGGAAGTATTTGTTTGTTTGTATTAGTTTCAGACGCAGCATGAACGTTGCATTGCTAAAATGGCTACAAAACGGACCTTTGGGTGTTAAGCAGCTAAGAGGCGCTCTGACGCTGGAAGAGAGGGTAAAAGTGATCAAAATAAAAGACGGAGAAAGCAAAATAAAAGACATTATCCAAGAAATTGATGTAAGTGAAACTGAATGCTAATCGTAAATTCCGCAATTTCTTTCCCTTTTTTTCTTTCTACACTGACTATATGAAGTGTCAAATAAGTGCGTGCTCATACTTATGCACTATTGGAATAAAATAAAGAGTACACATACGTTTGTGTGTGCGTGTACACATACGTTGGTGTGTGTGCGCGCGCGCGCGTGTGTGTGTGCGTGTGTGCGTGTGTGTGTGTGTGTGTGTTTACATCTGCGATTAAATTTGCTACAGTGAAAAACCCCCAGTTGTGAAAAACTTCTTGCTGCAAACATGATTTCGTTGTAGAGGAGTTTCACTGTATTTATAGAGCACTTTAAAACAACCACCGCTGTGTACAAAGTGCTGTACATGGAGCAAAAAATCCCCAAAACAAAACAAAACAAATCATACGCTAAACAATGAAGCAATAAATTGATAACGAAGACAGTAAAAAGCAGAGTCATGCTGAATCCAAAGCCAAAGAATGAAAATGAGTTTTAAAATTAGTTTTAAAGATGGGCACTGATGGGGCTTGCCAAATGTTCAGCACGAGGTTAATTCCAAAGTGGGAGACTGGCAATGGAAAAGGTTCGATCCCCTCTGAGCCTCCGCTTAGTCCTCAGTACCTCTAATAATTTATGGTCTGCAGACCTGAGGTACTGAACAGGTGCGTTGAAGTGGAGGAGTTCAGACAGGTTGGGTGAGGTGTGGCCATTTCAAGATTTAAAAACAAATGTATAGGAAGCCAGTGAATGAGTGCCAGAGGAGGAGTTATGTGCTCCCTCTTACAAATACCAGTCAGCCATTGATCAATATCCCATTCACAGCATTAGACACCTGAAAGCGCTCAAGGGCTTTCTGCATAATTGCACATCCAAAGTTCCATTACAGTCACAGCTACTAGTCACTTAAAAATGGTGCGATTATCTGCATCATTCATAGATGGCAATTTTCCGCGGATCCGCGGAAATCCGCCGTTTTATTTCTTAAATTGATCATTTTTGTGAATCGTCTAAATCCGTTGAGAAAATTTTAGGGGCGGTCAGGTACCTTATCGTCGAGTTTTCACGAGCTCTCCCGAACAGTCTCTCCGTTTTCCGTTTGTAAACAGCCCTGCGATTGGACGTGTATGAAAGCTTCAACTAATCAGATCACAGCTCGATTATATACGGCCCAGCGATTGGTTAACTACAAGCGCTTGGACCAATCAAATTGCATGTAACATATTGTTTACCTGATTCATGGCGGCTTGTTCGTCTCGCAAATTCATTGTTCTGGGATCGTTTTGAGCGGAATTATGAAATTTTTGACGAAAGATCAGGAGTCTTTAATCCTAGAAAGCTCCCGTGGATGCGTGGCACTGACAGATCATGCAACAATAGTGAAAAAACATGCCGACAAAATCGCCATTCGATGGAGCAATTATTCTTTGGGATCGGCATTTTTCAAACAAACTTAGTCAGCGGATACAACTAAAGACGTTACTGTATGAGGTAAGAATCAACAGCTTTTTATCACATTTACACAACACTTTATGAATACAAGTCATGAGCAAATCTTAAATATGGCAGGGAATGTGTTTACTTTTTTAGTTTTGATTTTGAGCAGCAAATCTGGAGTTACATATGCTCACTAGGAATGCATAAGCAAAATTGCACAACTTTTCACTTGAAAGAATAGTGGCGATCTTGGGATATTTTTCTGTTCAATTTTCAAATAGTGTGTAAATTCAATACACTATCTTCAGCATGTTTAGTGCCACTTTTATAAGTAACCACGCCCCCGGCCAGGCCACGCCCCCGGCCAGGCCACGATCATTCAGATTCAGAAAACTTTATTTATCCCCGTGGGGCAATTAGAGTTGTGCAAGAGCGGCTTATTATAGAGACAGACAGAGCAAAGGAAAAACATAGGATGAGAGTAGCTTAGCACTTGAGGTCTTGAGGTAGTGGCTCCAGCAACAAAATAGTATTGCACATTGAGCAGTATTGCACAGTAAGGACATAGTAAAGACAGTATTGCACAGTGAAAACAGTATTGCACGTCAAAGTATTGCACTGTAAACCCATATTGCACAATGGGGTGTGCGAGTCTATATGGTGGGGGGAGGAGGTGCCAGGGATCCTTGGAATAAGAGTTTAAGAGGTGGTGTTTAACAGGTGAAGGTGTTCATCTGCACAACCATGACAGTACTGTAAGTACCGCACCACTGATCACTTTATCTCTGCTGGATGGCTCTCCACATTGTTACACAGCTACCATTGGGTGGTACTACGGCACAACGGCAGCCATCTCTTTACCTCTGCGTTCCGCGTCCTAGACGCATAATTTTCCTGCAGGACACACAGTTCCAAATAATGTGCGTTTTTGGCACGCAAGGAAATTTCTCAGTTAAAACAAAAAAAAAAAACTACGGCCGGCCTGAGGATTTAACGGTAACGATCGTTACCGGTAGCGTGTCGTTTCTGTGGCGTCATTTTGACGGTGCCGAAAAATCGTTTCCCATAAAAGTCACCGCACACGAGTTGACTGTACGCGATCGAATCTCTCCTGCGTGATCAACGCGATTTCACTGTGCCTGTATA